GCTGGGAACGTTAGATGAGAAGTATGGGTTGTCGTTCTGCCATGGAAAGTGACCTTCTGTGCCTTGTACTGACTGGAACAAAATGTTCTGATTTCCAAATTTCCCATTTATTGTCTTAATGTTTTAACCTGAACTGAATATAATAACTTATGCAAAGCATTTATTCAGAAAGCCAGTACTGTAGCCCAGATCACTGCAGAAATTAATACATGTGATTAGAAAATTAAGCCAATTTTTTACATCAACTTAAAAGAAATTGTAAAATTAGGTTTAGTATTTTTTACAAGTTCCAGTTGTTTCAATCTATTGTTAATAATGTAAAGAAATCACACAGCTGTTTTTTTTTTTTTTTTTTTTAATTCAAGTCTTCTTTGGGGTCAATACATATGGAAATTATGTGCCATTTTCAGTCCTCACTGAGAAAATTATGTAAGACATGTAAAGGTTGTTAACATCTTATATGTGGCATTATATCCAATTCCACTAAACTCCAAATTTTATAAGGATGCATGGAGTCATATTTGTGAAGCAGAGAGTAATACATAGTTACATAGTTAGTCTGGCTGAAAAAAGACAAAAGTCCATCCAGTTCAACCTTAAAAAAAAAAAAAAAAAAAAAAAAAAAAGCTATAATTCTATACCCACAGTTGATCCAGAGGAAGGCAAAAAAACCCAGCAAAGCATGATCCAATTTGCTCCTGCAGGGAAAAAAATTCCTTCCTGATCCCCTTAGAGGCGATCGGATATTCCCTGGATCAACTTTACCTAAAAATGTTAGTATCCAGTTATATTCTGTGTATCTAAGAAAGAATCCAGGCCTTTTTTAAAGCAATCCACTGAGCTGGCCAGAACCAACTCTTGAGGGAATCTATTCCACATTTTCACAGCTCTTACTGTGAAGAAACCTTTCCATGTTTGGAGATTAAATTTCTTTTCCTCCAGACGTAAAGAGTGCCCCCTTGTCCTCTGTGATGACCTCAGGATGAATAGCTCTACACCGAGTTCACTATATGAACCACTGATGTACATATACATGGAGATTATATATCCCGCCTTATGTATTATACATGTTGATCATATCCCCCCTTAATCTCCTCTTCTCAAGAGAGAATAAATTCAGTTTCTCTAATCTTTCCTCATAGCTTTCCTCAATAACTTCCAAAGACTATACCATTGCATAGATGTAATGGGGTTGATTTATTAAAGGCAAACAGGCTGTTCACTTTGCAAGGAATTTTCTCTTTTTAAGGGTATTTTCTCTTAAGTGGTAGTAAACTGCCACAAAAATGAAAAAAAATCTGACCCCTCCCCCCTGCAGGTTTATGTCATAATGTATTAGGATGTACCACCTACGAGCACATTATGACCGACTTGCCTGCACAAGGAGCCCTCCAGCGTAGCGCTGTCACAGCTCCTTGGTGCTTTGATCGGGGGTTTGCAGGCCCCAACTGTATGAATGCACGGTGTGCTTGCACGGTGCTCCGCATTTCACGGCACACTGTATGCCCTGAATGCAGATCTTCACTGTCCATGAATGGGTGACATGCGCTGTTGGCGATATTCATATCTCTTAAAAAATATACACTGACAAGATGTTCATTGCACCTACAGGTAAGCAAATGGTAAGCCCCACATCCCCTTGGTGTCTATAGCTGTTGGTACCTCCTTCACGTTGTGCCTGTAAACCTATGGGGCACAGTATGAAGCACGTCACAAAGCAGTGAATATTTGAGCTGTGCTGAACTGCCACCAAATTGCAGTGTGTAATGAGGGGTCAGGCTTATACATTTGCCAGACAACCAGTGTGAATGAGCCCTTTTATTTTTACAATTTTTTATTTATTTTACAATTTTTAAAGTATTTTGAATTTTGTAATTATTTTTTATTAACCATGCTGTTGGGGAGGCATTTAGTGAAATATCAGGGGTCTAAACAGACTCCTGATGTCTCACTGATGCAACACCTCCTGCGCTCAAGGACCCAGATCAGTAGAGGGCTGATGGACCAATATATACTAGGTATATGGAAGTTCGTCCAAGACAAATAAAAGGTTGTGCAGCTCCAACACAAAGCTGGGGAAACTCCATAAAAACTGTAGTAGAGAACATAGAAGGGACAGAGAACAAAAAATGTCATCCCTTTCTCTGCAGCCTCAGCTGCACTAGACAGTGTGTGAACAGAAAGCTCTGTACAGAGGCCACCTGCTCATTCACAAACTAATGCATAGCAAGCACAATTTACTTTGCCTCAGTTATCAATGAAAACGGTAAATGATCAGTACGATCCAGGGGTGGACTGATCATTCGAGCATTCGGGCACTGCCCGAGGGTCCGGGGTCAGTAGGGGGCCCCATGAAATGCCCCTGTTACCTTTTTATAGGCTTTTTTGGGTGTGGGCAAAGACACGGGCCCCATGATCCCCTATTGCTGGGGGGCCCCATGAGTTGTTAGTCTGCCCCTGGTACAATCACTCATTTGTTCATTTACAAAAGGAAGGGGCTGGTAAATATAACATATTTACAGGCACCTCTCCATCCTAAAAACAGCAGCAGCTGGTGAAAGAGGAGAGGAAAAAATCCACAGCACGGTGGGGTGGGGAACAATACACAGGGTGGGGGGGCTCTGACAACCAGGGGTTAAAGAATGGTGCACAGAGATGGTGATCGGTGCGGCAGGGGTTCATTTTAGGAATTGCGTCTCTCCCTGCAGCAGCTGAGCGCTGGCAGGAGGGAGAGAAGGAAAAACCATCTTTCAGCTGTTGCAGTGAGACACAGAGGGGATTGGTTCCTGTACAGTATTTGCCCTCCAGCTGCACTGATCACCCCCTCTCCTGCTCACATCTGATTCCTCTGCTGCCTGAGCCCCTCTGCTGGCCTGTACCCAGAACAGGAGGACCGTTGCTACCCTGTTATTGGTGGCCCTGTTTGAATTCCCATGTGGCTGGGGAATCGGATCTTCTTCCACGTCATCCTGTGCCCTAAGGTGGCTACCTCAGCAGCCTTATGCTGGAGCTGCCCCTGACCATTACAATCTTCCAGCCGCCTGTGTCCTAACAACCAATGATGTCATCCGTTGATGGGGAAGATGTCGGGTGCCTGTCCAGCATTCTTGTTTGACCTTTCACCTGTCAGCCCTGGGTTCACATGAGTGAGGGTGAGAAACTGAGGAAGAAGAGGATCATTGGAATACTGGTCAGTACCAGTGTGGGAAGGAGTATTTGCTGCCTCCGCAATATATGTGGAAAATGCAATTGTATTGGTGTATACAGCCCGAGTTGTTTTTTGGTTGTTTGTTTATTATACTGTCACCTTTTGACTATTTTTTATATTACATGTTATTTTCTGTATGTCCTTTCCCCTTCTTGTGAGGTCATTTGCTCTTTCTTGTGTATGAGTTTTATCTTCACTTCCTTACAAGACACACATGGGGATAGAAAAAGCCAATAGTCCTTTTTGAGTGCATAAAACAGTCTACAGCATCTTCTCATATTGCCTCTGTGTTCTGCATACTCTAAAGACATTTTTGTGGATTTCAGGTGTTTGGTGAGTTCGGCTATCTCAGGAAGATTTGTCCGTGGTGAGTGTCTGTGCTATATACAGGCCACGCATGGAGTCACTATTACAACAATTGGTGTCAGAATAGTTACTGTTGTGGAATGCCCTACAGGACATGAAGGGGCAATCTTCCCAGATAGGACAAGTACACCGATAAAATAAGATCAAGGTTCTGACCTCTGATTGTCAGGCCCCAGCCAACGGGATCTCTAGTGGTCCACGGCACGGGGTTTCCCAGGGCGCGGAGTCTAAGTCCCAGTCTGCCTTTTCACCAGGGCCCCTGATGGTGGGGATGGACTTGGTGCAAGACTGAAACCAGGTCGTGTTCCTGGGCACCCCCGGCGGTGGCAGAGGGGTCCCGCTGGGGGTATGTGCCCGGGTTGAGCCTGCTGTGAAGGGGATGACAGATCCTGATCCGAGCGGGATGGATGGGATGACAGATCCCGATCCGAGCGGGATGGATGGGCAACTGTCAGGAGTGGACGAGGTCAGACTAGCCGGGTCGGAATTGTGCGGGCAGCGTGGTACAGGGGGAGTAAGCGGAGAATAGTCGGGGTCACAAGCCAGGTTCAACAGGTAGCGGGCAACGAGGTACCGAGGGTCAGGCAGAAGGATGGTCAGGGACGAGCCGGGGTCAGAGCAGGAGAAGGTAAGCATAGGTCAGAACAGGCAGAGTTTGGCAACTAGGAAGCGTACTTACAGGACTGGAACAAGACCTTGCGGCAACTTGGAGATGCACAGGCAGCTTTAAATAGGGCGCCCTGCTCTCCCATTGGTGCGGCCGCGATCGCTACTGCGCATGCGCGGCCGCCGCGATCGCCGAGGATTCTGCGCTCGCCGGCTGGGACGGATCGGCGGTCTGCGCATGCGCGCGCCGCCGAGGACCCGGGATCCCTGACACTGATAGTCCAGAGCAACCATTCTCAACCAGGGTTCCTCCATAGGTTAATAGGGGTTCCTAGAGCCATGGTGTATGGACCTCTCATCTTATGGTGGGCTGCATATTCCAGGACCAATGTCACTTGACAGAGGCACCAAGGACCTTTTTTGAGTTCTCAGTTAGGCCCCTTGCACACAAGGACACCTAGCTACTGTGTCCCTCCAGGTATTTTCGTGCCCGTCCTGGAATTCATGGGGCCCTAAACAGGAGTACAACTTGTTAGTGTTCAGCCCTGTCCATTTGCAGCCTGTTATAGACTTTGGTCCACTAACAACCTTTTTAGTGGACTGAATCTTTGCCGCCCCTATTTTATGGTGTCCCTGTTTTTACAGTTCCACCTTTAAAGTGTTACTAAACCCAGGCCCCTGCATTAACTATATCTGGTCTCCCACAGTACACAGAACATGGAAGTGCAATTATTTTAGTAAATATAAACTGCTAAATACCTTTACTCATCAGCAGTTAGAGCAGTCTTGTGACTTCAGCTGAGCACTGGTTAAAGCTTGTAGGAGGAGTTTTCATGTTCTAGGAGGATGCAGAACCCCTTACCTCTGTCTGGACAGTGTTGATTGGCCCTGTGCTGATCACATGCACTCTTCCAAGAAAAAAAACCCTCTCTAGCAATACACACCAAACTGAGCATGTGCAGAATGACTCCACATGATATGTCTTATCAGGAGGTAAGAGGGGGATGCTGGAAGGAGAGGATCAGAGAAGACAGGCTCAAACAGCCTTGTTACACAATGCAGAGGATTAACCCCTTAGGTTCCACAGTGAATATAACAAGCATGCTTTACTGCATATACAGACTCATTTTACTGTTGAGGGTTTAGTAACACTTTTTAATTTGTTGTATCCATCTGTTATAGACTTTCCTATAGAGTCTGACAGGCTGCAGGGCTGAGCTGGAGGGACTCATAACAGTTATACGCCCCAATGTTCAAGGGACCTAAAGGTGGCTTTCTGAGCACTTATGTCACCTATGTCAATGAGGCATTTTTCCCACAGAATACCAATCTGAGAAGCATTTTCACCATTGACCTCTGATGAATTAGTTTCAGCACAGGCTTACTGAGACTGGGAAATTGTTTGAGGGGGTTTTTCAGGGTATAAAAGGTTGAGAAAGACTTGATCAGAGAAAATACATTTTATAACTGAAACAAACATCTATTGTTTTTGAAAAGATAGAAGAACTGAAGTAGAATAAATCTGCAAAATTATTTCTCCATCTTTCTCCACTAGACAATGGAGTTCAGAAGCTCAGACAGAGCTTCAATGCTACCATGGCCAAGACTATTGTGTAATTACATACAGCAAATAATTACATAGAGATCTTGTTCTGAATACATTTTGTGCTTTTAAGTGTACAAATAAAATGTCAGAGAAGGCTCTTATTCTAATGAGATTTGCCACTGTATAAATGCCAGGAAATGGTTATGGAGATCGCCTGTAACAATTGCATTTAAACTTTCCAAGTGAAGTAAAAGTCACAAGTGAAGTTACTGTTAAAAATTATGCAATGCTATTTACAAGGAAAACGTATTTTTTTTTTGCAAAAAGTAAACTGTGTGAACACTGAAATATTAATGATTTCACTAAACAAAACCTCAACAAGAAAAAACATTCATTGGAAAGAGGAAATAAAATGTACTTTCTGCCAGGAGACCTAGACTGTATGTGTTCCCTAACTTGACGTTCGGCCAAAACTCTCAAATATTGGGCAGCCTCCATTGCACCTGTGTGCTGTGCTAATGGCCAGCAATCTACTTTGCCTGCTTTTGGACAGCAGTAAGGAATTCTAGAGAATAGTTCTCTTACAAAAAAAATATATACCGTATATATATGTATAAAACTTCTCCATGCATGATAATAGCATAATGTGCTAGTATGCATCACATGCTAGCTCATTATGAAAGACTTACCAGAAAATGAAGTCCTCCAATGGAGCTCTGCCATGGCTCCCTAAGACTTACCAGAAAATGAAGCCCTCCAATGGATCACTCCCATGGCTCCATCTTTACTAAGTCTTCCTTCCGCTTTACAGGCAGCGGCCATTTGACTGGCCGAGCCGCCGAAGACATCACTCCCACTCATGTGCACGGAGGTCTCGGCCGCGGCACGGCTCTCTCAAAGGACAGCACACCATCCATTGAGAGTGCAGTACGCATGCGCAGGTGACAGGTCACCAGCGCTGCCACATTAAATATCTCCTGAATGGTGCACGTTTAGGAGATATTTACAGTAAATACAGATGAGCCTTATTAAAGGCTTACCTGTAGGTAAAACATGAAAAACAAGGTTTAGGTCCACTTTAGGCGGTCCTACTTTAAATGCGTGTAGTGTGTTTTCAGGTCATTAACTTACACTAGAGATTGTTATCTATTAGCAGCATATTCTTTCTTCGTTAATGACCACAAAACCCAATTGCTGAAATGTAATTGAGATTTAAAGTGATTAAACTGAATGGGTTGTTTTACGAGGTGAAGGTTTACAAATAGAAATGAAAAGCAAAACATTTGTGTACACATATAAAAATGTTTATTTATTTTTTTGTTTTCTTTTTTTAAATAAGGGATCACATTTTATTATTTATTTCAGGTACTTATATAGCGCTGTCAATTTACGCAGCGCTTTACATATATATTGTACATTCACATCAGTCCCTAACTCTCAAGGGGCGTACAATCTAAGGTCCCTAACTCACATTCATATACAAAGGCCAATTTAGACAGGATCCAATTAACCTACCAGCATGTGTTTGGAGTGTGGGAGGAAACCAGAGTACCCGGAGTAAACCCACGCAGGCACAGAGAGAACATGCAAACTCCAGGCAGGAGGTGCCGTGGCTAGGATTCGAACCAACGACCATAGTACTGCCAGGCGGAAGTGCTAACCATTTAGCCACTGTGCCACCCATAATATCTGTTCTCAGCTTCAGGAAGAGAAGGGGGAGGAAAAACAGCAGGACTCTAATCATCCCAGAGAAAGGCTGTGCAGGATGGGGGGGAGGGAGAGGAGCACGTGTCAGGACCAAATTTGTTCATTGGAGGAGAGTAGGCTGAATTCCCAGCTCAACTAGAGCACTGACCATGGTGTATTATCCTGCTTAGTGTGGTCAGTTTTCATTAGGAAAGCAGAGGGACTGGCGGGAACACCAGGGATATCACACAAAGGAAGCAATACAAAGACAACAGGATAATTTTGCATCGTATGAAATGTTGGGTTTACATATTATTTAACATGGGAACCTCTTGCCACCTATGCAGCGGCGGACTGACCATTGGGGAACTTGGGCACTGCCCGAGGGCCCAGGGTCAGTAGGGGCCCCATGAGATGCCCCTGGTACCTTTCATAGGCTTTTTTTGGGTGTGGTTTGAGTGTGGGCGAGGACACGGGCCCCATGATGCCCTATTGCCCGGGGGCCCCATGTGTTGTCAGTCTGCCCCTGCACCCATGTAACCCATATGTGTGGCACAAGGAAAATCAGTGGCTCACAAGCTGCACAGATTAATTTATGGATGACCATCATTCCTGTGCTAATAGCAGGCTCACTGGGTGCTTCCAGCTCAGTGACCCCCTGGGCGTAAAGACCCACTTAAAGGGATGCTAGAGCTGGGCGGGAAGGGATTAATGTAATTTTTAAAATTTGTTTTTGAATCCCTTTTAAATTTTCAGTATCCATTAAAATAATACCTGGTGACCCTGCCCTGAAAGTCCTTGTTCAAGCACTTCTCATCCTAGGATGATAATGCTCTATCCCTGTATCCTGTTTGTTCAGCTTGAGAGTTGTCACCTTGTTGCACTCTCTCCGAACAGAGACTACAAGTACCCATGCACATTGCACAGGCGTGTTTAACTTTTCTTACAAGGAAACCCTCCCTAAAAAATGCAATACAGCTATTGATGTGTGTGCAGATAGGAAGTGGCTGCAAAGAGGCTGCAGGAAAACACCAACTCTGATATTTAACAATGAATGTAAAAAGGCAACAAACAAGTCATTTATATTACAAAAAATGGCAATTGTTTACGATACACAACGCCGTCACAATCTAAAATGGCATTAATTAGGGTTGCCATGAACTTGAATCTACCCTATGTTACATAATTACAAGCAATGCATGCCTGCACTCAGCATTGTTGGAAAGCAGTGGGTTAAAGGGCCTATCCCATTTTCTTATCTTGACTTTTTTTTCCCAGCTGTCTAAAATAGAAACCATGAAACTTTGAAAACAGGCGGGAGATAAGCATCAGCCATCACTACTTTGCAGTATTTTTGTTAAATGTATATTTATTGATTTTCCATTATCTCACATGAACTGCTGACCGCACTGCATTACTGTGCTTAGTGACCGGAATCAAACCCATCTGCACAATTCACTACAAGCAAACTTACAGAACAGATTATCCCAGTAGATCATTTCAATACATCTGTTGAGGCAAAAATATATAATGCCTACCAACATTTTTTTTGGGGGAAAAAAGGTTTTTTCGTAATCTTAATTTTTTTTTACGCCGTTTAGGGTAATTTTTTACTTGGATTTTACACAATGCCTAAAGTGCAGCATTCTAAAAGCATGGAAATGAAGTATAAAGGGTCAATGTGACATTTTCATTTAGATGGAGGTTGTGCCATCCCTTTTAATTACAGTGCCATGAAAAAGTATTCATACCCCTTGAAATTTTCCACATTTTGTCATGTTACAAACTTACAACCAAAACCACGTAAATTAATTTTATTGGGATTTTATGTGGTAGACCAACACAAAGTGGCACATAATTGTGAAGTGGAAGGAATATGATGAATGGTTTCAAAATGTTTTACAAATAAATATCTGTGTGGTGTCAATTTGTATTCAGCCCCCTTTACTTTGATACCCCTAACTAAAATCTAATGGAACCAATTGCCTTCAGAAGTCACCTAATTAGTAAATAGAGTCCACCTGTGTGTAATTTAATCTTCATAAAAAATACAGCTGTTCTGTGAAGCCCTCAGAGGTTTGATAGAGAACATTATTATTATTATGCAGGATTTATATAGCACCAACAGTTTGCTCAGCGCTTTACAATATAACGGGAGACAATACAGCAACAATACAGTTCAATACAAGAGGGTTAGGAGGGCCTGGTCCTGGGAGCTTACAATCTAAGAGGATACATTAGTGAACAAACCGTATCATGAAGGCTATTACACACAGCAGGAAGGTCAGGGATAAAGTTGTGGAGCAGTTTAAAGCAGGATTTACTTATAGCCCCCCCAAGCTTTGAACATCTCATGGAGCATTGTTCAATCCTTCATCTGAAAATGGAAAGCGAATGGCACAAATGAAAACCTACCAAGACGTGGATGTCCACCTAAACTGGCCGGGCAAGGAGAGCATTATTCAGAGACACAGCCAAGGGGCCCATGGTAACTCTGGAGGAGCTGCAGAGATCCACAGCTCAGGTGGGAGAATCTGTCCACAGGACAACCATTAGTCGTGCACTCCACAAATCTGGCCTTTTATGGAGGAGGGGCAAGCCATTGTTGAAAGAAAGCTATAAGAAGTCCCATTTGCAGTTTGTGAGAAGCCATGTGAGGGACACCACAAACGTGGAAGAAGGTGCTCTGGTCAGATGAGACCAAAATTTAACTTTTTGGCCTAAAATTAAAATGCTGTGTGTGGTGGAAAACTAACATTGCACATCACCCTGCACACACCATCCCCACTGTGAAACATGGTGGTGGCAGATATTGTGGGGATGCTTTTCTTCAGCAGGGACAGGGAAGCTGGTCAGAGTTGATGGGAAGATGGATGAAGTAAAATACAGAGCAATCTTAGAGGAAAACCTGTTAGAGTTTGCAAAAGACTT